GACAAACCAGAATGACACTTTGTTTCACAGTATTATTATTTCTTTCAGTGTTTTACAAAAAATATGTACACTGAATCAAAGGATAAAAATCAAAAACAAAGACACATTGAAATCATTCAGTTTCTCAGTCTTCTTAACACCTCCTCCACTGTGCCTCTAACGTACAAGGCTCGCCATGTGTGCAAGTGGGTCGATATGACACACGGGGGTGGGGGCAGCCGGAGCTCAACCTCCATCCACGTGGGCGGCCTTGTACGCAAGAGGTTCTGAACAGGGGGAGTTGTAAAGAAGAAGATAAAAAATGAATTCATTTTTTCTTGGTTTTCTTCGCTTTTGCACTCTGATATATATATATATATCGTCAAATAGAACTGCCCGGTAAACCGTAGGCAGAGAGGGAGAAGAGGACAACAAACGAGGGGCTGTGACAAACTGTTTCGTCGGATATATATAGTCACAAGATATCAGTGCAAAAGCGAAGAAAACCAAGAAAAAATGAATTCATTTTTTTATCTTCTTCTTTACAACTCCCCCTGTTCAGAACCTCTTGCGTACAAGGCCGCCCACGTGGATGGAGGTTGAGCTCCGGCTGCCCCCAACCCCGTGTCTCATATCGACCCACTTGCACACAGCCAAAGGGCAAAGAGGCAAAGTAAAGAGGAAGGGAACAGCCAAATACAACCACAACAAAACAGGGGGCAACAAGCAATAGTACCAAAAACGGATCCTAGATGGCAAATCCCACATGCAAGCACCGCCCCTCCTTCACAGGCCAAACGACAGGACAAGACCACCCAGGACAAAACTCTTGTCTGCAAGAAAAATAGAAATCCCAGATTGCATATCTATATACAGCAGATGGCCTTCTTCGTCATCAAGACGTGGGTATTCCCATTTGTAAACCGTTCTTGCTGGGACAAAAAACATATAAGGGACAATCCCGGATGACGTTTCCCACATAAAAGCACCGCCCCCATGCAGGCCAAACAACGGGACACAACCAACCAGGATGCCAAACCGAAAAGAAAGAACCCGGATCACTGGTCCCACATGAAAGCACCCCTACGCTACGCTCTCCAAAATAGACCGAATAACGGGACAAACCCAACCGGGATGCATGCAGACAAGGTTACCTCACCAAAACAGATTCTACAAGTATATCCATAGTTAAAAAAAACGGAACCACACAGTAGGTCCGCAAAACGAAATACCCCCAACAACGGGGAAGAGTAAAGCAAAAAAGAAAGAAAAAAAGAAATGCCAGAACGAGAAATGGGGAGAGAGAATTAGAAAAATAATTTATACCATAACCAAAGAAGAGTCTGCTGCTAGTAAAGGCCCGACGCTAGCCGCATCGTCTGCAAGAGCAGAGAGCTAGCAACGTCGGAGTATATATTGTCATTAAAATTTGGCAAAGAATTTCGATGTGACCCTGAGGCAAAAGTTAAGATAAGAACAGCAAGTCAGAAACAAGGTCTTACCACAACGCTTGCATACACGGCCGTGCTACTTACGGCGAGAGTCGTATGCGAAAGCAATCTCGAAAGAAGTTCCCAGGGAACAGATATGAACGAAAAAGCACACCGGCCATAGCGAAGGCTATGGCGTCACCTCCCTTCCTCCACCAGGAAAGAGTGAAACGCATGAGGTTGGAGGCGCCTGGCATCCCCGACTAGTTTCAGCCACCGCCAGAAGCGGCCTCATCAGGGGGAGTTCGAGATAGCTACTACGCTGCAGTACTAGTCTAGTTATACTCATCCCGCAGGTTCCGATTCCCCTGAGAGTTCGGCCAGACGGGCGCCGAAAAACTCTGGCCGCCCCTCCAAAACGAAGAGCACAGCCTGATGCATTGCCCAGGTTTCCCGCCCATTTGTCAGATCAGTGTGCCCGTGTGGCCTGATCGCGTTCCTTACAGTATTGCCCCGGTTCAGGTGCCACATTTTTTGCCAACTTCAGGTTCCATCGATATTCCCGCTGGCCTGATACTCACCTACCTCGTATTATTACCCAGGTTCAGGTACCACGTTTTCGAAAAGCCGTATTCACGGCCTCAAAACCTTTCCATACCCTTGCATGAATCACACAGATACCTATGAGGTAGCCATATTCCCGCCAAACTTATCGCTTCTGTAGTTACTCCTCAACTCCTACCAACTTCCAAACCTGCACCACCATTTTTCCCACGATGGGGCGCGTCTTCTTACATACTTCCCCAGGCAGTCATTAAACAGCCAGGCAGGATAGTTC